TGCCGCTTCTTCTGTAACCCGACTCCGAATATGGATACATCCGTCTACTTGCGCGCAGGCTGTGGAGATGCCTCCTTTCTTCGAGTCTTCACGAGCGCCTTCCAGGCCGTCACCGAGGCTTTCCAGCCGGAGGCGGTGGTTCTCCTGTGCGGGGCGGACACCCTGTCCGCGGACCCCCTCGGTCCCTTCAACCTCACCTCAGCCGGCGTTCGGTCCTGCCTGGAGCTGGTAATGGCGCTGGAGCTACCGCTTCTGCTCCTCGGGGGCGGCGGCTACTGCCCCACGTGAGATTCAGAGAAGTTGGCCACATTTCATCCATAAATTGTCCCAGGATCATCCCGGCCTTTCGACCCTGGATGCCGCTGCCCGTTGTGTCCAGGGATCTTCGGTCGTGCCTGCTTGTTGAAATTCCGCCGCAGGGTTTTTTGACCAATCAGCGAACTTCGTGCCACACATGTTTTTCTTCTGGCGGGCGGTGCGTGTGTTTGTATTATGCTTGTGTTTCTTATTCAGCATTTTCAAGCTCTGGTGACCCGATTGAACTGTTCTGTGAACGGGTTGACTGGTGCATCAAACACATGTTTGTGGAGTGATGTTTCCGGACCACATAGGGGGGGGAGAGGAGGTTGACTCGAAGCTCTTCTTGATTGGTGGAGTGGCAGACATGCAGGCATGAGGGAGAGCGTGAGAGTTACGTTGGGCTTGGTACGAGTGTCACACTTGGGAGCTATTGCTTGCTCGACCTTTGGTTGTTTTGCTACGCCGGTCTGGTGCTGCTGTTGGTGCCGCTGCTGCTGCTGCTGAAGCCACAGCCGTTGACATTTTGGGCTAGCCCCCTCCTCGTGGCTTTCCCATTCGCGTATCCCCCGTCGCTCTTGTTGCTCCTGTGCGTACATCAACTTATCAAGAAGTGAAAAATATTGCGCTACGCAGCATTGTCACCGAATGTGCGGCTGCGGACGGTCCTAATTGGCGATTTCTAACGATCTCGCGGCTTTCCAAGTCACCTGATTGCTTGCCCTTCCCATGCTTCCGTGTGCCGCGCTTCAAATCTACCGCTAAATGTTGAATTTTTCGAGTCACCTGATCGCTTGCCCTTCCCATGCGTTCCATTCGCCGCCCTTCGAAACAATCAAACATGCTTCGATGAGAAGTGACACCGCGCGGCTGTGGACGTCGCTGACGGCTGCGGCGGTGGGGGCAGACGCCCTGGCGGCCCTCCCTGCGACGGTTCCGGACCACTGCTACTTCCCGCTGTACGGGCCGGATTTCCGCATGGCCACGAAGGAGAAGACTCTGCCGGACAAAAATGACGACGATTTTCTCGACAGGTGAAAACGCACACACACCCTCGGCAGATACTAGTACACACACACCGTCGGCAGATACTAGTACACACACACCGTCGACAGGTTGAATACACACACCCTTTGTTTTGACACATGGTTGCGTGTTGCCAATGTACATGGCGTTGGGTGTTGTCAGTGAAGCATGTGACCAGCGCGTGTTGTGATCGGGAGATGAAGCACACCTTGCGAAATGAGATCCCCGTCAACAGCTTTACGAGTACACTTTCTCGTCAAGGCTGCTCGCTTCCTTCTCAGTCTTGGCGAAGATGTACATATGTGTCCGCCTCCTTTCTCTGACACTTTGTAGGCCTCATCTCTCTTTTCTCGTCTCTCTCTGCATTTTTTGTTTCTCATGTGCTGTCTGCCTGTCGCTATCTCTCTCTCTCTGTACGTGTGCGACTCTGTCTCCCGGTCTCTTTCTCTCTCTTTCCCTGTCTCTCTCTCTCTCTCTCTCTCTCTCTCTCTCTCTCTCTCTCTCTCTCTCTCGCTCTCGCTCTCGCTCTCGCTCTCTCTCTCGCTCTCTCTCTCGCTCTCGCTCTCTCTCTCCCCTCGTTCCTCCCTCCTTCCCTCCCTCCCTCCCTCCCTCCCTCCCTCCCTCCCTCCCTCCCTCCCTCCCTCCCTCCATCCATCCCTCCCTCCCTCCCTCCCTCCCTCCCCCTCTCTCTCCATCGTCTCAGGCTGAGTGACTTTGCTGCGCAAGCCGGGCGACGGGTACGGGCCGCGAAAAAGAAGCGGGAGCGATCGTTGGGTTTCGATGCTTTCGATTTCAGACAAGGACCTTCGGACTCCTGGTGAAGAAGAAAAAGACAAGACGTCGGAAACGACAATTGACAGTCCCAGTGGGAAATTCTGTTCCGTGGGAAGCACGGGTCGAACCGTCACCTGCACCAGGCTGGTATTTAACCGTCACCGGAACCATTTTGAAGTTGGCTTCACTTCTGTTGTTTTTGTGCTTTGGTGTTGTGATTATTGTGTGGTTACGGTATTTATCACAATTCGCTGTGTTTGGGTCGGAGAGAAATTTGGATGGTTTGTTTCGAGATTGACGCATGCTCAGGGTGGTAACGTTTCCGCGGAAAATTTATTGTGCTAGAATCAGTTTCTTCGTGAGTCGTCTTGTTCAACATCGTTTAATCATGTTTGTCGTTTCTTCTGGCGCCCGCGGGACTTCGGCTGGCATCTCCGTTGATAGAACCGTTTGATGGATGACGTTTGCTTGTTGTGGTACGGTCCGCTCATAGGACTTGCGTAAAATATCTCGTTTATTGGTGGGTGTGGTGTCGTGGTGCTTGCTTGATCTGTGGAGATTTGATGTTGGCACATCTTCCCGCAAGGAATGCATTGCCTGGGACTGTGTTCAGCTCGAGTTGTTTTTTCATTTCTTCCGAAAATAGGACGAGATTGGCAAGGGAACGCAGACACTCGTGCAGAAAAGAACAGTTTCTTGATCAGCGACGACCGCATTGATCATTTGAAACGTCTGCTTTGAGATCAGGAACGCCTGTGTTGAACTTTTAGAACGCCATGTTTTTTTATTCACCTTGAACGCATATTTTGTTGTTTGGGAAATGCCTGGTTTTACGCGGTATTTAGGCTGTTGTTTAGAACCGAAACGCCTGAAATGGGCTGGCGGGGCGGAAACATGTCTCCCTGACGGCTATATGTGACGATGCAGATCGAGTTGTGTGTGTGCCAAGGTGTTGTTTGATGTGTATCTAGTTGTCTTCTTTTTTGTTTCAGCTCGGTTCATGTGTTGTTGACTGCGTAACTCGTTGGGTGGGTATCGGGCGTGCAGTATCATAGTGCTGAAATGAATCAGCGCCTCGGTTTCTTTCTTCCCAAGGTTGGGTCGTACTTTCCCTGACGTAGCATGGATGGTGGACAGGTTTTCAGAATACTCTTTCTCTCGATAGATTCGGGATCCGACGTAGCATAGATGGACAGGTTTCCAGAATACCCTTGTCTCGACAGAGTCGGAGTCCCTGGCATAGCATCGATGGCGGACAGGTTTCCAGAATACTATTTTTTCTCTACAGAGACGAAGTCCGTGAAGTATTTACATCGGAGGTATTATTTTTTTCTCCGGGTATATGGCGAGGTGTTGCCAAAGCGCGGCCGAGGTTACCCGGACGCGCCAGTATCAGCATCAAGAAAGGTGAGAGTGAGAGAGAGGGCCGTCTTGGCATCATGACATCTCCGAGATTCACCTGAATGTTCACTGAATTCGGTGAAAGTTCTTGGTAAACATGTTCGGACCGGTAAAACATTGTTCGCAGTCTCCAGATCTTTATTAGTCGAATGCGCGTCACCACCCCGACTTACAACCTGGTTTCCACAGTTTCACTTTTTTCAACTTCGTAAATATCTCCTCTATAGTCTACTTCCCCGTTTCGCGTTGTCTTTGCGGGTCGTCGGTCCTTGACTTGATTCGATCTTCGACGTACACCCTCGGGGATATCTAAGTTGATTGCTACGAAACGAGATTGATGACACAGCAGTTTGGTGGCAGACGCCGAAATGGTCTTTGGATTCCACTGACAACACCATTGAGGATTCTAGGACAGAATATGAGTAGTGTCAAGTCGGCTACGCATGTTGTTGCTGTTATTTTTTTTTTGCCAAGCTACATATCGCGATGCACGTTTGGGCATATACAGGGAGTGAGCGCACGCACGTGGCAAGTCGGGGTCGGACAGTCTACACATATAGCGCGCCACCAATGGGCGGGAGCGAAATGAGATACAGAATTCGAAACTGAACGCGCGGAATTGCAGACTCAGGCTTCCTTGCCCTCTCGTTGTAGCCTACCAGACGAGTGCGGAGGGACAGCGATGACGCACGTGTTCGTCCACACATGTTGGGAGAAGGAGCGGAGACATGTACGCAATGCGGCGCATCACAACTTCTGAAAAAACGTGCACACGCCCCTTAGCATGCCAGGGGGGAGGTGATTATGGGTACTGGGGATGTTGATTTGCTGCGTTCGTGCTCCCGTATTGATTCTGCTGCCGGCCTGTTTGCGAAACAAAACGAGGAAGCCACGTGGAGGTCGATCTAGCTTATACGTGCAGTGACTTGTTCATTGTCACTTCGTGTTCGGCTAGCCGACACCTTAAATTGACTATGACTGAGGATGGAAACCCTTTCAACGTGAGGCCGGTGAATGGAAGGACAAGAAAACTCCAAAAGAAACGTGGACATTCACAACGTCTTCGTGTGAGCGCGCTCAGGTGATCTGGGAGTGTGCAATCTAGTTCAATACTACATGACATGACTGCATTGAGAATGTGCTTGTTGTGGCGGTTCGAGTGACGACGCGTACGACACCCGCCCATGTACCCGGCGGTTTATCCATGTTTCACTATCCTATGTGTTTCATTTGGATTCTTTTCCGGATGATTGATGGGTGGCGACTCGAAACGGTCATTATAGTTGTGTTGTGAACAACAATGACTTCATGCGGTTCCACTCTCGGCCGGGATGCTGACAGGCATAGTGCTAACATTTTTCAGCGACGGGAACTTGGTGTTGAGGCCTGCTAGCCTGCAAGCGTCCGCATTCAACACTATAAGGACTGAGTCAGTCCGGAGAAAATCCAAGGCACTTAGCCAGAGCTCGTGCGCCATGGGAGTATGTCGGCTCCGAGTCTAGTGAAAATGAACATGCACGTGGAATTTTTTTTGTCAATGAAGCACTCACAGAATGACTTAGTTTTTCTCTAAGTAGTCCCGAAATAATCGGAGCAATGCACGACGTAGTCCTCCTCATTGAAGATTGCACATCGTCCGCAAACGATAAAGACTCCTTTAGCCAATCCTCTGCCTAAATTCAAACGGTGTACTCATCATGACGACGTCTATTCCTACTCAACTAGCTGTTGGTTCTAGAGTACGTCAGCACCCGTACCGAAGCCCTACTAGTATCCAATTCCGGTTCTTCTATAGATTTGAGCCCATCTTCTTCAGAGTAGGTGCTACATAGGAAGATTGGTAATACCTCCTCGAGAAGACGACAGCAAACATAAGCATTGCTCACGCGGGGCTAAGGGGCACCGCACAAACGATGATATATGAAGAGATAGTAAAGCAACAACAGTGAAGGGTCGTGTGAAACGAGCGAGGAGGGAGGGGGCACCGAAGGCGACGATGTCGACGTTCGGGGACAAGAAATTAGACAAACCGTCCGGCATATGTCGGAGGACATTTCGGTGGACAACTTACCATCATTTAATAAACGATGGCAGCTACAGTAGATGGAGGATGCTCACATCTAGAGCTCACCACCGAACACACAACAACTTGAGGTCAACAATGAAAAATGAATGTGCGACATACCAAAGATCCGCGGTGATCAGTCGGCGAATACTCTTGCTCAACATAGACCCACCAAGACGCGTAAGAGTCTTGTAGGGAGCCTTCTTCTGTGTTTGGGCCGGACCGCAGCCCCGAGGAAATCACATACGCCTCACTCCAACCGACACGGACTAAGCAGCCAAGCTTGAAGGCCAAATGAATGTCGGGCTACAACGGCCTGAATTTGATTTGGATTTCAAGACCGGCAGTTGTAAGGTACAAGCTTGGGAGAATGCAACCATTGTGCATGACATGGAAAATGATAGGCCGACAAGTGGATGCCTCTTCCGTCTCTGCGCCGCACCCACACATGCATATCTCCGTCGTGAACTGTGCATGAATCTCCATGGAAGAAGGCAGAGAGCTGAGCCGCTGCTATAGTCGATATTGCTTTTTCGGAAAAAATCGGATTTCACAATTATTCTTTGTAACAACATTCAAGTCGGAAATTTTCCCACGGGTGCGTGGCCGTGATTGGGTAGCACCTAACGGAGAACAAGAGCCCTCAGAACCGATAGTTCGCTGCAGAGCTGTGAAAGGTTAGTCCGCGTGTTCTGACCCAGAGTTCAGCTTGGTGGAACTTCAACTGGAAATGATGCAGCTACGCGGTGCTGTGACAAAGAAATGCGATTGAACGTTATCAATATATAACTTCACATACATGTCGACATTGTGGTTGTTCTGTCTTCGGGCGGTTGTGGTATTGACATGTGTTGTGTGCGGACACTGTAGCAATGAGTTGTGGCATGGTGACATTCTAGGTAAAGGCTGAATATTTCTACAGCCCATAGCGGCCAACGTGACGCCATTCGCCGTGTGGAGCTAATCCGAACACTGTGCACAAGGTTAAGAGGCGCCGGAATTTCCTTCCCTTCCCCCCTTCTGTCCATCCCTCGGTATCGCATATTCTCTTTCCCGGATGCAAAACTGTTGTGCAAGCGAGGAACGACGGTTGTAGCTCCGGTACGCCTATTCTACCTACCTTAGACACTTGACTGCCAATCAACACCATTCTGCGCAATATGGAGTGAGACACACTCATACAATAGACTGTACCAGTAAAAAACAATAGTCTTCTTGTGGATGCAGAGCGTGTCGTATCTACATAGACGAACCCAAACACGGTCTACTCCATCTACTCTTTCCGCCCGGTCTGGTGATGCCCTCAGCTCAGACTCGAAGATCGGCGTGTATTTAGACTAGCAAGCAAGGACGCTTCGCTACCCTACGGTACATGTCTCTACAAATGGGTGGTCTCTGGGTGATGATGTCATATTCTTCTAACGGGGCCATCCAACCCGGTAGACCCTGTTATGGTTTGACGGACTCTACAGCCGTGATATCGCCCTTGCTTTGTAGAGCACTCGTGGTCCCACAACGTCGATCCGTCCAGTCAGCAAGCACAACGCAGTACTCTGCATCCAAACGTGATTTCTCCCTTACAGCTGCCCGAAACATCCCCCCACGCCCGAAACATAGGGTCTACGATTCTCCTGGGTCGCCCCGTTTACTCCTATCTGTATGTGCAGCGAAAGGCTGCAAAGTCGCGGTAAGGATGTAGACTGTCCTCTGAGATCATAAATAGGTCGTTGGTGTCGTTGTTGCTGCGTTGACGCGAGTTCCCGTACCGTTGACCGTACCCGGCTACGCCAGCTCGCCAGAGTCGTCACTGGAAGACGTTGACAACTTTGTTCCCCCTTCTCGTGGTCCACGACGTCCAAATGTCCTAGTGTCGGCAGTATTTTCTTCATCGTCTTTTTTCTGATGGAAGTAATGGAAGCACCTATTTTGCGGCCGGCGGTCTCCTCACCCTCTGACTTGACTGTGAAGATCCGGATCTTTTCGTCTTCTAGATCGCTGTCGATGTTGTCGTTGGTGCCATCGTCCTGCCGCCCCGTCTGTTGCAGTGGGCGAACGTATGAGCGCCGCAGCGACTCAGGATTGGAGTGGTACCCGTCCGCCCGTTGTCCAGCGTTGGCATGAATTTTCCATCCCTCCCGCCGGTTGCCGCTGTTGTGGGTTTCCGGAATCCATCCACCCATGTGGGTGACACGTATGTGTTGGGAAGAGCAGGATCCAAATGCGGTCACATCAAACACATGGCAGAAAGAACGGACCACAAGAAGCATTCCGACAATCTGGGTAATCTCGGGAGGCCGCTGAT